TATTGCTCTCTCTATCATTCAAGAATGTCTTGTTCTGGTGTCCTTGACAAAGCCGCATTGTCCATGTCGTGTTTCCGATCTAATTCTGCTTTGCGCTTTATTCATCAGGATTTGTATTATTTAGTTTAGTTATATTTAATTATGTGGCTCATTTTCCGATGAAGCTCGCATTCATTTACACTTGGTCTCTTAGTTAATGTTACGAATATGGATTTAGTGAAGACTTCCGGTTAAGGAATCGTTAAAATGAGTTCGAATTTCGACTGAGTGTTTTTAGGTTTAACTTCTGCTAATTCCCCTTGGAAAGGCATGAATTCATTTTCTTTTTCTTATCGCTAGAATTCCTTTTTCCCTGTCTTATTGCGAGACAGAAAAAATGTTGCGTCACTGGCATTCCACGAAAGTTTGCTGGCAAAAGTCGATGAATGAGCAAACCACACCCCTATGATATCTACAGGAAGAAGCCGCAACAGATATGTTATCTTCTGAGTCAACCTATAGAAAATTCTGGAACAAAAATAATCGATGCACAAGAAAATATTTTAAAAGATGAAAATAAAAACCATCACATTTCTAAACATAAGTATCAAAATTATTCTGAAAATGTTCTTACATGTAAAAGAGAGAGGGGGGTGGAGAAAAAGAGAGTGGGAGGAAATGGAGAAAGAGAGAGAGGAAGATGTTAAGAGAGTGAGAGGAAATAGAGGAAGAAAGAGAAAGGGAAAATGGTGAAAATAGAAAGACAATGAAGAAAGAGAGAGAGAATAGAAAGAGAGATAAAGAGTAAATGAAGAGAGAGAGAGAGAGAGAGAGATTAAATAGAGAGAGAAAAAATTTAGAAAACGAGAAAATAGGGGGAAAAAAGTTTAAAAGGGAAAAAGAAGGGGGGTGAAAATTGAAAATGACAGACAGAGAAAAAAGAACAAAGAGAGATATATAAAGAAGAAACAGAAAAAGATGAAAATGAGGAGAGTGAAAAGAGAAAGAGAGAACATTATTTACATTATTCGGACTATTGTTCTCATCTTTATCGCCATATTTATCACAACGTTTCTGCCGTTATACGCTCCGGCCTTCTTCAGGTGCTTGGAATTTCGAACTGAACCCTTTATTTCGCTCAGTGGGGAGTCGCTAGTTCCACGAGCCATGTTTGGTGGATGTCAGTTATCAGTTATCTCCTGCTAATTTCCTCTGAAAGTTCCATGTTTGAACTCACACTCTTTGGAAATGTCCTCAAGGGCACAGTAGATAAAGCCGTTGGTTAGATCCAAAGTGACAGGACCCATAGAGTGTGAGTTCAATCCCGGTTAAGGCAGTGGAGAACTTTCCCTCTGAAATTAGTAGAGATAACTGACATCCATCAAACATGGCACGTGGAACTAGAACAGTCTACCCCCAAGCGAAATAAAGGGTTCAGTTCGATATTCCAACCCCAGTGAGCGAAATGGTTGTGAAAATATGGAGGACAATCAATAATGTAAATAATGACATAATACCTCCAAAATATAGACCTGAAAGGCCGAAACGTTGTAATAAATATGGCGACAAAGATGCGGACAATAGTCCGAATAATGTACATAATACCTCATCTCAGAAATATAGACAGATACTGAAAGGCCGAAACGTTGTAATAAATATGGCGACAAAGATGAGGACAATAGTCCGAATAATGTAAATAATGTACATAATACCTCATCTCAGAAATATAGACAGAAAGGGAGAAGGTGAAAAATGCCGAGTGAGAAAATGGAGAAGGGCAGAGTGAAAATTGGTGTGTGTGTGTGTGTGTGTGTGATAGAGAGAGAGAGAGAGAGAGTGAGTGAAAATGGGGAAAAGAGAGAGAATTTGGGGAAAGGAAGGGAGAGGGAAATGGTGAAAGTCAGAGTGAAAATAGAGAAAGATATAGAGGGAGAGCGAAAATAACAAAAGAGAGAGGAAAAGGGAGAGGGAGAAGACAAAAAGAAGAAAGAGAGAAGAAAGAAAGAAGAAAGAGGTAAAATTGATAAAGGTAGAGAGAGAAAAAGGGAGAAAGACAGCGATAAGAAGGAGTACTAGAAAGATAAAGAAAATGGGGAGAGAGAATTCAAAGAGAGGAAAAGTATGTCGAAAAATGGATAAAGAGATTGAAAAAAGAAAAGAGAAAGCGGGTAAATGGAGAAAGAGATAGAGAAAATATAAAGAGAGAAAGTGGAGAAAGAATTCGAAAAAAAATAGAGAAAGAGTGATGACTGATAAGCAGAGAAAATTTCCTCTCGATATTTAAACCATTTATTATAAATTTGCTCTCAACGGCAAACTTAAGTTACAGCCGACAAAGTGAATTTCGATACTTTGGTGACACATGAAAATCGGCCTGTATTATGTAGGATAGATTGTAAGCGGTATAACGTCGCCATCTATACCATAAATAGTAATGAATCTATGAAAGGGGGCCCACCGAAACTATGATACCCCCCCACACACACACTCTACTACATCATAATTTCATACTGTACGGTGGAGTAATGGATAACGCCTCGGATTGAGGAATCTATTACATTCACTTACGTGCTAATAACCTTGGTAAAGGTATGAATACTTTTCTTCTCCCCCCCCAGCTATGGGTAAATAGTAGGACAGACCAGGTTCTATAGCCTTGGATGGCAAAAATATCAAGTGATGATGTTCAATGTAGATTGTAGAAACATATTTTTGTTTTTAATATTGATCATTGCAGAAAAGTTTGCTTCGAACAAATATGACCTTGAGAACAGAATAAGTATTTCTATTGCTTTTTTGCAATATCTAGAAATTCAACCTTAAGAGATAAACAAAATGAAGTAATATCTGTTGTTGAATATTTTAATTGCAATCGTCTGCCATTTAATCAATTTAAAAAGGTGTTAATTTTGATATTGTGGTAATAAAATAAGCATATCACATCTCCCCCTAGCTTGTAACCATCAATCACAATAAAATAACCGATTTTCAGCACTAAAGCTGAATTAGAGCAAATAAGGCTTCATAAGTTGCTACTTTCATTAGAGTTGTGATTATATTACAATTTATTTGACTAATTTACTATCACGAAAATGGAACGTACACTCTGCTCAGGCAAATTAACTATGGATCCGAATTCACTGGAATCTGAAAGAGAGAGTACCATCAGTGTTGAAAAACCTTTGAAAACTTTTTGGAGGAATGTTGCGACGAAACACCCAACAGGTTAAGTTACTTGACACAATATGTATCAGCTAGCATCAACGAATATTTCTCAGATGCCGCCACATATGAGGAAGCCCAAGAAATTCTGGACTAACAAAGGCTAACATGCCTAACTCCGCACTCTTCGAAAATTTAACGCCTAACTGCAAACGAATAGTCATAAAATCAAGACGGCATACAAATGAAGATAAGGTCAAGCCATCCGGCGCAAGATGCCCGGTCATTTAAAGGATTTTTTTTCTTTCATATGAATAAAAAAAACTACTGGGTCGTGACGGGGGGGGTTAATGCTGTAATAAAATAAGCACATCCCATCTTCCCTCACGGTTGTAACCATCCATCCCAATAAAATAGACGTTTTTCAACGCTAAAGCTGAATTAGTAAAATAAAGCTTATACTTAGAGTTGTTGCAATGATATGAACACTTATTGCGCTTTGGAGACATTTCGAAAATTATTTAATTAATGACCTTTAAAAAATTTTAGGGCATACCTACGATCCTCTCACGGCACACCAGTGAGCCGCGGCGCACCAGTGAGCCGCGGCGCACCAGTGAGCCACGAAACTCTAGTGAGCCGCGAAACTCTAATGAGTGTGCCGCGGTACACAAGTGAGCTGCGAAATTACGTGCCCCGCGGCACACCGGTTGAAAGAAAATTACTGGTTTAGAACGATTTCGCTTTAATCAGGACATAATAAAATCAAACAGTTTTAAAGATTTTGTTTTAATTCCATGTGATGCCTCTTCTGTAGAGTAGCACTAGATGACTGAGTATCGCTAAATCGAGTCAATCAATGATCTACTTAATTGTCAAAACATGTTTTAGATTCAAAGAATCAGGGAATGAGAAATAGACACATGGAGATAGGTTGAAAAAAAAAAGAGATTTAATAGATAGATATGCAGACATATTGATAAAAACAAACAGGTGTCGCGTCATAAAATGGTGAAGAGATATGAGGTGCGGTAAAGAATTAAAAGTATCTCTGATTGGTGAAAAGCCCAACAGCTGCATTCTGATTCTTATCATCACTCATAATACAGCGGCGCGCTTAAATATTTTCGGCCTTACCAGAATCCCCAAATTCTAGAAATACTCATTTTGAGAAGTGGGTTTGGCCGAGAAATAAACACACTTCTGGTAGATATAAAAATTACTTTATTTTTATAAGAATTTCAAAACCAATGTGTTTTCAACGGAAAAAAAAGAGCAAAAAAAAAAAAAAACAAACAAACAAAAAAACAATGTTATTTTCACGCCCCACCCCCGCGATGACGTAAACAAAAGAAGACTTTAACCAAAATTTCGAACGTGTTAGAAAGGATTAAAAAATTTCAAAAAATAATTAAAAAATACTTTGGTCTTTCATCTTAATAATAACATAAACATTTTGACGATAAAACTTTATTTTCGTTAAATCTGTGGCCTTTTTCATTACGCTATGCTGTTTTCCCGCGAAAAAGTGGAGGTACCTATATAAAATTAACATTATGCTAGTAATATGGATAATATTAATATGATAACAATTTTATATATAAATTGTATTAGCTCGTGATTTTATCGAAAATAGATATAAATATATCCACTTTTTACACTGTTTGGACTGTTGTCATCATTTTTATTGCCATATTCACGACGTTTCGGTCGTTGTACTCTTCTGCCTTCTTCAGGTGATATACGATGGAATTTCGAATCAAATCCTTTAATGCAACGTATTCGAAATTCGTACGTATATCACCTGAAGAAGCGTACAACGGCCGAAACCTGAATATGATAATAAAGATGAAAACAACGGCCAAAACAATGTAAATCGTGTTAATAATTACAGTACCTCATCTCAGGAATATAGACAGTTTCTGAAGAAGGTCGGGCCGTACAATGGCCGAAACGTGAATATGACAATAAAGATGAAGACCGCGGTCCGAACAATGTAAATAATTACAATACCTCATCTCAGATATAGACAAATATATCCATATATAATTTCTTTTTAGTATAAACATTATTTTACACGGATTTGAGTCACCGTTTTCTTTATTTTTTTTAACAGTGACATTAATAATAACTGGTCTAGAAGTCAAAGATTGTGCCTCCGACTGGAGTCGAACCTATATTTCCTTTTCCCTCAGTGAAACCGTTTCTATAGGCCGAAACATGCCTTTATCATTTCGGTTACGGAGGCTGCATTGATTAAGCCATCTTTGAGTTAAGGTATGCACAATGTTGGAATATTTACGAATCTATATTTGCTAGCTTCAGTTTTATAACCGAAACGTAAACAACCGTAATTTTTAAATTGATTTTTAGCCGACAATGTTTTTCAACTACATTAACTGATATCGCTCTTTCCAGTATTGGTGAGGTTTTCCTTCCTAACCTTATGTCTGAACTATTCTGGAAGATCAACATCATGATAATGCCATTATTATCTCCTCGTGTTTTACTCTGAAATTTAATTTAATTGTTGCTGCTGTTAAAAGTCCTCAAATGGTGTGGTTTTTATTCTTTTGTACAGTTCTTTGTTTGCGATTCTGCAGCGCCAATCCATAAGGCTTGAAAAAGAAAGGTAATCACTGAGACCATAGTAGATACAACATTATTATTTTTATACTAAGACTAGCAGTAGAGGCCGGCGTTGCCCGGGGATGTAACAGTAAGAGATAGATCAAGTATCGACCATCATAAAGACTGAAAAATAAAATTGACAAACAATTGTCTTGTAAATGGAATTTTTAAAGCATTCTGAATGTAAAAATAAAGAAAAAAGTGTGCAAGACAATAAGAAACACTACCTGCCAAAAAAAGTGAAGTTTTGATGAAATTGGTTGAAAAATGTGGGAAATCCGATCCCATATATAAATGAACACACACACACACACACACACACACACACACACACACACACACACAAACAAGCTGGGTTTTATAATAAGTATAACTCGATATGAGTTGTCCCCCTTTCATTCTCGCGATGACTCTTAATCGTGTTTTCAAATTGATTTCGTGCAAAAACAATTGTCTTTTTCCAATTTTTGGCGCTGTCAGAACCACTGCAAGGTAATTTTACGTAGTCCTGTGAAGTTATGTTGAAATCGGTTGAAAAATGTAGGAAATCCGATCCAATATATAAACGTACAGACACACACACACAAACTGGGTTTTATAATAAGTATGATTTATCCATTTCAAAGTTCGAGAGTCACTGAAGTGTCACGCACGAGAGCAAATTATATCACAGACAAAAATTACATTTATATTTAAGCCTGAATGTGAGATTAGTTAGATCTAGTAGATGATCTCGATTCCTATAAGCAAGGGATATCTGCAGGATAAGAACAGGACACACAAAATACAATAATCAGTGAAAAGAAGGACGACAGCGAACACATGAAGTTAATTTAAACAGTTTAATAACATGTATATATGAGAACAGAAAGAGAAGGTAAAAAAAAAAAGAAATAGTCTATTTGGGTGACATGCTGTGAATGTGTCATATAATACAGAGATTTCAATCGTGTCAATCGAATTCATGTATTACTTATCTGTGCTTTTAGTGTCAATGTATCGAATGTTCTTATAAAGAGCGGACCCAAATGATGAGTTCATAACAACAGAATGTTCGGATTCATGGATAATCTCAATGATCATTATCCGTTTAGCAAATGCTACAGTCATCGAAATTGTTGCTCGAGATATATCCCATAATTCATGGATAAAATTGGTTAAATTCACAGTTCCCTTGATTACTGCCTCATCTGTTCATCTAGACATATACAACGCAGGAATTGACGTCCGTCTCTTTCGTTCGCTATCAGTCTTGAATTTTGGCACCTCGGCATCTCTTAGTGGTCACCTGATCCACCAGGTGGTTGACATGTATTTAATCAAAGGATCAGGCGTCCATCCACCGATGTCATCAATGATGTAGGGAAATACATCTCTCCACCGTCGCCATTTGCCCGCAACTATTCGCGAAGCAACTCGTCTCTTTCGTTCGCTATCTTCCAACTGCCAATTCTTGAATTTTGGCGTCTCGGCGTCTCTTAGTGGTCACGTGATCAGCCACGGGACTGACGTGTATGAAATCCAGGGTCAAGCGTCCGTCCACTGATTAATGGTGTAGCGAAATACATATCTTCACTGTCACCATTCACCGCATGTATACACGAAATAAACTGGTCAGAATGAACGGGGAAAAGAAAGAAAGAAAGAAAGAAGGGAAGAAAGAAAGAAAGAAAGGAAGAAAGAAAGAAAACAATGTTCCGAACTGTGGGATTAGTCCTTCTTCCTCTTCTTTAACACAATAGCAGTTATCACGTCACACAAGGTAGATCGTTACTCTTAAAATGGTTATGATCAATGAGGTGAATGATGTGAATGAAAGAGGAGGAAGTAAGAAATAAAGATTATGCGGATAAGGAGGATAGATAAGGATTGTTCTTTAACTTGAAGAGGATAAGATTGTAGCTTCCAGGGAAGGATCCATGCGGGATCTGTTCCATAAAGTAGCAATTCTTGGGGAAAAAAGATGTTTGACTGGAATTTTCTCCTTACACTTGAAATACATAATATTACCAACCATACCCCTTTCAGCTTTACTTTTTGTTTTTTAATCGTCGGTATCACTCCATGCAAGGCAGTAAAGCCACTAAGACACAAGGGGTTACAGTGTCTGGAAGAATTAGGAACAGAAACATTAATAATGAGGGGGGAGGAAAAAAGTAATCAGGATATATATATATATATATATATATATATATATATATATATATATATATATAGATAGATAGATAGATAGATAGATAAAACTTAGTGAGCCAGACAAACCTACCCAGGTTTCACCTAAGCGGATCGGCAGGGAAAGCCGGCTATCATATGCGTTTCCCTTTGCCGCTTTAGCCGGTTTCCCTGACGATCCACTTAGGTGAAACCTGGGTAGGTTTGTCTGGCTCACTAGGTGTATCTAGGTCTGCTCTACGGTTGTATTGAGCTCTTTTGTTAGTTAGTTGTTTACTCGTATCGGGTTTTTTTTTTTTGGGCTTCAAACCTGTACTTGTGCGATTTTTTTTTCGACAGACTTTCATGTTTGTAGCTCTTTCTTTTTTTAAATTTTTTTTTCCTCGAGATTGATTTGATTATTGGCAAATCAAAAAACTCGAGGGTTTTTCAAAACGAGTATAGTTATCTATATTTGTATATATATATATATATATATATATATATATATATGTGTGTGTGTGTGTGTGTGTGTGTGTGGTGTGTGTGTGTGTGTGTATGTGTGTGTTTAGGCAGCAAATTCTTTATTTGGCATGTATGACTGAATAAATTACAAATATTATATCTGCTTATTTTTATCATAATCTTTTCATATTCACGAATATTTTTCCGTATTTTACAACTAAATAAGGCAAGAAATGCAGTGTAACAGTGAGAGAATCACTTTTATTTCCCAAGTACTTTCCATTTATTTCTGAGATCATCATCAGGGGTGAAACTGATATATATATATATATAAGGTATATAAAAAAAATTGGGTGTACCCTTTGGCAAAGAACTACTTTGCGAAGATAATTTTGGACGACGTGCTGTGGTGCACTGTTGCATAACGCTAATCGGTGAAGCGAGTTCGAATTCCACCCGAGATTGATTCCGTTAACTTTGATCTTTTGCCAACGACAAAACCATGAAACCAATTCTTCCAACGTTTTGACCTTTCGCAAGATATATTGACAAAACATCTCCGCATTAACATGGCGTATAGTCTGATAGGAAAGAGTATGAGTGATTGAGAAAATGGGTGATCGACTCGCTTGTAATTATGTTACATAACCAGATAACAGCAGCATAAAAAAAAGTCATTACTCACATTGTCAACCTTATGAAGGCCGCATCCTTTGCAGTTCCAAGCCTGTCTAGTAGATTAGTGTTATACCTGACGTACCTATTCTATTATTAATAGACTCTCCCACACATAATAAGTAGTAGTTGTAGCGCTCGCCAGTTTCGGCTCAGTGGTGTTGAGCGAGTCAGTCGATATCGGACATTGAAGTATCAACCATCACAACTAGATTTGCTGCGTCATTAACTCTTATTTCAAGTTCCTAACGTTTTGTACGTCGAACCTAATTTAGGACGACTTATTGAAATACAAGCCTCCACTGTGAAAACTACTCTACAAGAATTAGAGAATGAGATATTTTTCGAAAGGTTCTTGGGCTTAAGGTTTAAGTTTAAGTAAAAGCTGAAGTTTTTAATGCTGATTTCCAAAAGCGAGCAAGCAGACCCCTTCATACTTAATGCATCACTACATAAAAAGACTGGTTCACTGGTAAAAAGTTGGGGAAATTTTCAGGGGAAATATTTTTTGTAGATTAGCATGTTTTAGATCAGTGGTTCGCAACCAGGCTATATAAGGAAAAATATTTTGCCAAACAATTGCTCATCTAAAACATTTTCTTAAAATAAAACATACCTGTCTATTCTTTATTTAAAATAAATCTTTTTGTAAAGTAAAAGAAGTATGATTTTGTATGCCGATATCAATGATGTTAGCACATTTTCAAGGTAAAAACGTTAGTAAATAAAAATAAAATGCAGATAATTCTATAAAAGTCAGGTATCGATTTTACAATGTATCGATGCTGTGAACAGGACCCTCACTTCTGAAATCAATATTTTTCGATTCTGACAATTGTCGGAGCTTAAGGAATGCCGAAATAATGCTAATTTATAATATTGATAGTGTCAAATCGATCCCTGTCTTTTACAGAGTTATCTGTATTTTATTTACAAATGGTGTACCTTGAAAATGTACTAGCATCTTACTTATTATAAAAGGCAGATTGAGTATGTGTGTGTGTGTGTGTGTGTGTGTGTGTGTGTGTGTGTGTGTCTGTACGTTTATATATTGGATCGGATTTCCTACATTTTTCAACCGATTTGAACAAAACTTCACAGAACTACGTAAAATTACCTTGCAGTGGTTCTGACAGCGCCAAAGATTGGAAAAAGACAATTGTTTTTGCACGAAATCAATTTGAAAACACGATTAAGAGTCATCGCGAGGATGAAAGGGGGACAACTCATATCGAGCTGTACTTATAAAAACCCAGGTTGTTTGTGTGTGTGTGTTCGTTTATATATGGGATCGGATTTCCTACATTTTTCAACCGTTCACTTTTTTTTTGGCAGGTAGTGATTCTTATTGTCTTGCACATTTTTTTCTTTATTTTAACATTCAGAATGCTTTAAAAATTCTATTTACAAGACAATTGTTTATAAAAGAATTCTATTCAATCGGTAGACTCATAACGATTGAAAACAATGTTTTTGTTTGAGTTTGGGTTTGACCAATTCGTAAAAAAAAACAAACAAAAAAAAACTAATTAAGACAAGCGTGTCCGTCAACCTTAAACAATAATCTTGTCAATTTTATTTTTCTGTCTTTATGATGGTCGATACTTGATCTATCTCTTACTGTTACATCCCCGGGTAACGCCGGGATCTACTGCTAGTCATCGATATCTGCATATTTTTTGATAATTTTCTTAATTTATGTGAATATTTGTTCTTTAATTAAAAAAATGATACTACTTTAAAAATGTATACATCTGTTCTTTAACGACAAAAATCGTCAAAAAATCTATTTTGCCAAACAATTGCATATCTAATACATTTTCTTAAAATAAAACGTATGAAAACGTATATATCCGCTTGTTATTTATTTTTAAATGAAATTACTTTTCAAATTAAAAACAACCTGTTTTCGTAGGCAAATATCAATGACGAATGCACAGATATCAATGACGTTTGCACAGATATCAATGACGTAAATACAGTTTAAAGCATGAGATTTTTAAACCAACTTCGGCAAACTTGGACCTTCGTCCCCCCCCCAAACAAAACAGAATGTAAAAAGAACGGTTTTTCCTTAACACCGCTATTATTATGACTACTTTCACTCCTCGGCAATGTTTATTGTTTTTAAAAGCGATGATTAGAATTTTAATAAAATTCAAACATAAAATGAAAGTAAATTTATACATTTTTTACAACAAAATATTAAACAGTATTTATTTATTTATTAGTTTATTTACAAAATAATTTTATATTTACAACATTCTAAAAACTAATACAATTGTACTAAATCTAATGCAATACAATCTTTATTATTTAGCAATTTATAAAAAAAATAAATATGAAAACAATTTTGCATTCATAAATTTATAAACATGTACTAAATTATTAAAATACGTGAACCAACTATAAGGAAATCCTTATTATTTATCATTTTATAAAGTTCAAATCGATTCACAATGAACCGATGTTTTGCCAACCATTTCAATAAACAATCTAATAAATAAATAGTGTTTATTATTTTTGAAAATGTATAAATAAACTTTCATATGCTTAGGTTTTATTAACATTCTAATCATCGCTTTTTAAAATAATAAGCATTACCGAGGAGTGAAGGTAGTTAAAATAATGGCGGTGTCAAGGGAAAAACCGTCCTTTTGAGACTTTTTTTTGTTGTTGCTGGCATGAAGATACAAAATTGCCAAAACTTCTAATTTCTGATAACCGCGTAAAAGTCAGGGATCGATTTGATGCTGTATCAATATTATGAACAGGACCCCCCCCACATCTAAAATGAGAACGAATCAATATTTCGTAATTCTGATAAATATTGTGGTCTAAGGAAGGCCTAAAAAATGCTAATCCACAAAAAAAAATCACAAAAGATTTGTTTTCCGATTTTTTTTTACGAGCGGACCACTAAATTTAAGTAGTACCCTTACTGCTACATAATCTACCAATTTTTGTCCAACACCCGCATTTGCTAATGTTCATTTCTAAACCGTGTATGTACCAATGGATAGTTGTCTTGTTCCTCATCTCTCCACGCTTGACAACACCCAACAACACGTTGATTGTTACGATGATATCACAGTTCACGGAGTTAAGCAACTTCGAGCCGGATTAGTACCTAGATGGTGACTGTTTGGAAACACCAGGATGTGTGGGTGATGTAATTTTTGATGATAATTGTTAATCGGAGAGCCGAGTTCCAATTCCAGACACAGATTCGATATATTCACTTACGCGCAAATACCTTTGCGAAAGTATAAATCCACATAACCTCTCAGCTATCGGTTAATCCGTTAGCTATCGGTTAATCCGTAAGACTAAATTAGAATCTTTATAAAAGACGCGTTACTCAAGGTCTAAAATGAATTTTTAAAAATGAAAGATCTTTCTTGAAGATTTTATTTTAGTTTTAATTTCGAGCTAAT